AATTCCCCCCCCCCCCCCCCCGAAGTTCAGTTTTGTAATGTAGAAAACCTCTAGTGTTCTTTAATCCATTTGTGGAACATCAACTGTTTGTGACATTTTGTTCTCTTTCTTGTACATTTTTTTTTATAAAACACCTTCATTAAAATGGGTTCTTAATTTCCCTTTTTTCACCTCATATTGGTCTCTTCTCCTTTTTGTGGGGTGAAAGTGCTTTATATTAAACCATGGCCACTGCATTATGACTTGAGTGCTGCATTGGAAAATACTTGTTTCACATACACACAGAGAGACATGTATGCACGCACACACACGTACACACCCACACACATGTTTACATCCTTTTTTTAAAAAGAGAATGGTTGGTTTTGGGTCACTTGGACCTAACTGTATTTTGAAAGGGCCATAGTAGAGGTAAATTTGCCTCTGTTTCATTCTGAACGGTCCGTCTTTTTCTAATGTATCTAATCACTAACACAAGATATGCAGGAATTTCTGTTGCCAGGGAATTCCTTCACATTCTTCAAAAGCTGGACAAGTACACTGGAGAATGAATGGCTCAACAACCCTGCAAATATTTAAGGATATTTATGACGATTCTCTTAAAATTGCCATACTGTATAATGATCTAAACTGATTCCCATCAAAGTATACCCAGATCCGTGTGAGCTGGACAACGTATGTCGCCTCCTAAAATTTGTGACCTATCTTTCCTTTCTAGCTAAATAAATCCTACATTTTGAAAATGGCAGTATAAATATCATGTCCTTCTGACACCACCAAACAAGTAGAGGGGCCAAAGGACATTGCTAGGTTTGTATCATTCTGCAGTTAAAGGGCTGTTTGCTTACAGTGGGGGGGGGGGAGAGAAACACACTCACACTCTCTCTCTCTCTCACACACACACACACACACACACACATTTAATGATACCCTCGGTAGCAAGTTCAGCATTAAATTGTTCCCCACAAAGCCCTGTTAAGACAAATGGGAGTTGCGCAGGAACATTTATACAAACTGCCCTTCTTTGCCTCGGGGTGTGCGCAGGAGCTCTTCCTGCGGCCTTTGTGTGACAAGTTTTCATCCTTCCTTCCTTGCTCGCCTTCCAATGGACCAAGTATTTATACCCTTCTGAGAAGAAACGCTCCAGAAAGATCGCCATCATTAGTCCTATATTTTATGCTTGGGGATTTATTCACAATGGTTTTGAGCAACAATTCCGTTTATTGTTCCTAATGAAATCAAGGTGTTGTAGACTCAAGAGGGAAGGAAAGCAAAGACGCAGCAGCCCGGTTATTTGTACCGTGGAGTAATAGCACCATCTAACGATCATTCGAAGTACGACGCCGTAAAAATTATAAATGGCCAATAAGCAAAGATGGGTTAGGAAGATTGGCTGCGATGCTTTTATGGATCCCCCTCTTTTTCTTTTCCATTGTGTGCATTTTAAACGATTGTTGCCTATGATAAATCACTGAGGAGTGTATAAGATTTCTTCTATGACTGTAACTGGAAAGTGACCACCGTCTCCTTCTCAGAAGTCTTGGTTGGTTATACTGCGCTGCTTTTCATCCGGTCGTTTTCAGGGCAGAGAGAGAGAGAGAGAGAGAGAGAAAGAGAGAGAGAGAGAGAGAGAGAAAGAGAGGGGGGGGGATTCTGCTTTTGAAAAACCACCATTGTTTCAAAGCCCAAGACTAAACAATTGAAGTATTCTGCTCTGGAAGGGAAAGCTTGGGTTGTAAATAGATTAAAAAGAGGGCAGAAAAAGCTTTCCAAAACCAGACGTCTGGCCAGGACTTGGAGTGTGTATCTACATTTGGTGGTGATGGTGGTGGGGGTGTTTAAGGGGGGGGAGGAAGGGGGGTGTTGCTGAGAGTTTATGATCCAGGATGCTGGCAACTTGAAAGTGATAAGAAATGCT